GCCCCGCCCCATGCGACCCCGCCCCCCGCAGCCCTGCCACGGCCCCGCCCTGCCACGGCCCCGCCCACCGAGGCCCCGCCCACACGGCCCCGCCCACCGCAGCCCTGCCACCTGCCACGGCCCCGCCTACCTGCCACCTGCCACAGCCCCGCCCGCCACGGCCCCGCCCACCGAGGCCCCGCCCCATGCGGCCCCGCCCCCCGCAGCCCTGCCACCTGCCACGGCCCTGCCCTGACACGGCCCCGCCCACCGAGGCCCCGCCCCATGCGGCCCCGCCCCCTGCAACCCTGCCACCTGCCACAGCCCCGTCCTGACACGGCCCCGCTCCCACTGCCCCACCCTCCGCAGTCCTCCCCACATAGCCCCCCCACCTGCCACTGTCCCGCCCTCCACACGGCCCCGCCCACAGCGGCCCCGCCCACAGCGGCCCCACCCCACTGCCCCGCCACCTGCCACAGCCCCGCCTGTCACGGCCCCGCCATCCACACGGCCCCGCCCTCCACACGCCCCGCTCCCACTGCCCCGCCCTCCGCGGCCCTACTCCACACATAGCCCTCGCCCCCACGGTCCTGTCCACCTCAGTTCCAGGCCTGCGGCCTCCCCCCTCTCCCGCTCCCCTCTCTGCCCACGGAGGGGCGTTACCTTTAAGAGCCCCTAGGCCGGTGCAGAGCTGGGACTCAATAAACGAGGGCTCGTCCAAGGGCAGGAGATTCTGCAGCCAGTGATCCGCCCGTGTGCCACCTGTGTGTGTGCGTGTGCATATATGTGCGCCCATGTAAGCACGTGCATGCAGGCGCACACCTGCAGACAAGGCATCCATGACGTGTTAAATGGGAAAGGCTGTACGACCGACAGGTGGTGTGGGTCATTTCAAAAATCACACACAGCACACACACACACCACACACACCACAGACACACACCCCACAGATACACACACACCACATACACACACACACACACAGGCACAATCACATCCAGAAAGACACCAAAAGGAAATGGTGACATGGGCAATATCTCTTGGCAGGTGATGCACATGTTAACATCACTTTCATCCATTTCACTTGAGTCGGCCGCCTGCTCAGGGATTGGGCATCAACTCGGAACCAGGAGGTCAGGGTTCGATTCCCGGTCAGGGCACAGGCCCGGGTTGACAGCTCCATCCCCAGAGTGGGGCGTGCAGGAGGCAGCTGACTCATGATTCTCTCTCATCACTGATGTCTCTCTCTCTCCCTCTCCCTTCCTCTCTGAAGTCAATAAAATATATTAAAAAATAAATCCATTTCACTTTTTCTGAAAAGAACAGGTAGTCAGTAATAATAATATAATAATAATAATAATAATAAAATAGAGCTCACCTGGCGTGGCCGTCATTGCCCAGATGGGGAGCCAGGCCTCAGGCTGTCCAAAGTCCCAGAGTCTGCCCAGGGGGCGGCCTGGATGCCGTCCCGTGTCCTGTTTTCTCTCTGCACTAGGCCACCCCCAGGTGCCCTGCCCTCATGACCCTGCACGGTGCCCTGACCCCCTGATCCCCGGGTGCTCTGACCTGCTGGCACATGGGCACCCTGGTTTGAGGACAGGGAAGGCTCTCTTGTTTGTGTTGTGAACGGAAACATTGTGAAATCTACAGTGTGTGTCTTGTGTCACATTTGTTGGTCACACAGTGTCACCCGTCCCCAGCCCTCCCCAGCGTGTCTGTCCGGCAGCCCCTCTGGAGCAGGTGGGGGTCCGGGCAGGAGCCAGCCCCACACACTCACGAATGTTTATGGAAGAATCAGACCAATCCTCTCAATCTTCCAGAGTACAGCAGCAGAGGGGACAGTTCCTACGTCATTCTAGGAGGCCAGCATTACCCTGACACCAAAACCAAAGGGAGACATTACAAAAGTGAACAACCACCGACCTATGAACATAGAAGCCAAAAGCCGGCAACAAAATAGGAACAAATCATGCCCGGCCAGGGTGGCTCAGTGGTTGAGTGTCGACCCATGAACCAGGAGGTCACAGCAGGACCGAATTGTGGACTCTGTCCTCAGTAGGGGGCATGCAGAAGGCAGCCCATCAATGATTCTCTCTCATCATGGATATCTCTCTCTCTCTCTCTCTCTCTCTTCTCCCTCTCTCTGAAATCAATAAAAATGTATAGAAAAAAATGAAAAAAACATACTCACCTGTGTCTACTTATAAAACTTTTAGTAAATCAAATCTAACAAGACATGAAAAAATTCTGTGTCATGACCAAGTGTCGAAGACTCAAAAACCCCTCATGTCAACAGGCTAAGGCGAGACCACAGACTCTGTCCACGGCTGCAGAGAGCATTAAAAACCACACATCACTCATGACCAACGCTCTGCATGCCTGCGAGCTGGCTGCACCCCGTGAATGCACACCGATGCGAGCGAGACACCCCCACAAGGGACTAGAGACTGTAATGGAGGAGGCTGCCCCCTCTCTGTGCCAGGTCGCTGCCGTTTGCCAGGTCAGAGAAGCAGGCTGTGCTCGTGGGGGAGAGTGCACCCCGCACCTGCTGACTGCGGGGAGTGGTCCCGTGCCCAGGGGGCTGGCAGATCTGATGTTTGGGGGCTGGTGGGCGGTGGGCACAGTGCGGCCCTGGGTGTGATGCTGTGACAGGAGCAGGTGCCTCCCCACCCGGTTGGGAGGGGGGGAGGGGGGAAAGGCGCTGGAGGCCCTTCAGCAGGGGGAGGGGGAGGGGGAGGGCGCCCTCATCGGCAGAGCGGCCTTGGCTGCACTGACATCATCCCCCGTCAGCCCAGCAGCAAAACATATTTTTGTTTCCAGGTTCAAAACACGTCCGGAGGGTCCCGTCCTCCCAGCAGGCCGCCCTTGGCCTTGACCCTGCATTGTTTTTCTGAGCCGATTGCCCAACGCTCGGTCCGCCCGCCCTGCCGTGAGTAAGCCCCGGGCTGAGAGGCCTGGACTAGCCGGTGACCAAAGGCCTGCCGGTTTCATCACTGAGACCCCAGCCTAGCCCTTGGCCCAGCCCCCAGCCCCCACCCTCCTTTCCCTGGCCCAGCCCCCAGCCTAGCCCCCAGCTCCTGGCCCCCTGCTCCCAACCCCCAGCTCAGCCCCCAGCCCCCAGCTCCCGGCCCAGTCCCCAACCCAGTCCCCAGCACCGCTGTCTGCCCCACTTCACCCATGCACCGCTGTCTGCCCACTGCCCCGGGCACCGCTGTCTGCTCACTGCCCCCCGGCACCGCTGTCTGTCCCACTGCCCCCGGGCACTGCTGTCTGCCCCACTGCCCCCGGGCACTGCTGTCTGCCCACTGCCCCCGGGCCCTCTCTTCCATGGCTGTTTTGCTTGTTGCTGGGGAGGCTGCGCTGTGGGCATGCCCCCTCTGGAGCCTCAGCACATCAGTTTTAGGGGTATTCTTGTCGGTCCGTGAGCACCTGCTGCACAGAGCGAGGAGGCTCAGGTGTGTGTCCTGACCAGCCCGTTCAGCCCACTCAGAGGGCAGGGAGGTGGCCACTCACACGGGGTATGGACACAAACAAGGGCCTCCTGTACCTTCTCATTGAAATATATTTTTATTGATCTCAGAGAGGACGGGAGATGGAAACTTCAACAATGAGAGAGAATCATGGACCGGCCGCCTCCTACACCCCCCGCCAGGGATGGAGCCCACAACCCAGGCATGTGCCCTGACCGGAAATCAAACCAGTGACCTCCTGGTCCATGCTCAACCCCTGAGCCATGCTGACCGGGCATATACCTTCTCATTTTCACTTCCCTTGGAAATTGTACTCAAGTTGCGTGTTTACAGTTCTCCCTCAGTACATACAGGGATGCCTGGTTTGGGGGCCTGGGCTCCCCAGAAAACCAGCAGCTCCTGGGGACAGTGGGGCCGCCTTAGTCTTAGTCTTTGGGACATCTGTCCTGCAGCCCAGAAGACCCTGGAAAGAGGGGTTTTAACTGAAGAGAAGGCCTTGCTGTTTGACTCCTGACTGCATCCGGTCTGAGTCAGAAAGTCCCAGGGGCCGGACTCTGGGTGCCTGGGGTCTGGGTGCCTGGGGTCTGGGTGCCCCTGCAGTCTGGGCACTCTGTCTGCCTCAGCCCTCTCCTCTGGGGATACAGTTACCCGGCTCGCCCAGAGAGGGGCTCCCCTGTCCCCTCCAGGGAAAGGCAGGGAGACCAGAGCTCCAGGCTGGAGCCTCTGACCTGCAGAGCCACCGCCAGCTGACGCCTTAGTCCTAAACGCCGCCCTGTTCTCCCCGAACCAGGTTTCCCCATTTGAAGACGGGTGGGGGCCTGGCCGGTGTGGCTCAGCAGTTGAGCCTGGACCTAGGAGCCAGGAGGTCAGGGCTCCATTCCTCTTCAGGGCACAGGCCCAGGTTGTAGCTGGATCCCCAGTGGGGGGCATGCAGGAGGCAGTCGATCAGTGATTCTCTCTCATCATGCTTGTTTCTCTCTCCCTCTCCCTCTCTGACATCAATAAAAATGGAAGGAAGGAAGGAGGGAAGGAGGAAAGGAATGAAGGGAAGTTAAGAAGGAGGGAAGGAGGGAAGGGGGAAAAGAGGAAGGAAGGAGAGAAGGAAGGAAGGAAGGAAGGAAGGAAGGAAGGAAGGAAGGAAGGAAGGAAGGAAGGAAGGAAGGAAGAGGGAAAGAGGGAGGAAAGTAGGGAGGGAGGGAAAGGGCGGTGGGCTTCCCTGGGCCTGGGCTCCTCGGGCACACAGCTAGCTGCGCCTCTGGCCCCGCGCTCGGGTCCGCTTAGCACTGCACCGGGGCGGGGGCGGGAGCTCGTAACCAGCGGACAAACAGCCCGACCCGGCCGCCCCCGCCCCCGCCCCGCCTGGCGCGGCCCCGAGCGCGGGAGCAAAACAAACTATTCGGAACGCGGGCCCGGGGGCGGCCGTCACTCTCCCCCCCCCATCATCACCCCCGGCGGTGCGGCCCGGCCCGGCCCTTTATAAGGCGCGGGCTCCCGGCGCCGTCACCCGGAGCCGTCACTCCGGAGCGTCCGCCGCCAGCACCTGCCGCCCCGATGGCCATGCCCGCCGCCGCCGCGCCGCCGCTGCTGCTGGCCGCCCTGGCCGCCCTGCTCGGCGCCGCCCTGCCCGGCGCGGCCGGCGAGCAGCAGCTGTGGGAGTGCGCGCCCTGCTCCGCCGAGCGGCTGGCGGCCTGCCCGCCCGTGCCCGCCTCCTGCCGCGAGCGCGCCCGGCCCTACGGCTGCGGCTGCTGCGCCGCGTGCGCCCTGCGCCGGGGCGACGCCTGCGGCTTCACGTCCGCGCGCTGCGGGGCCGGCCTGCGCTGCCGGGCGCGCCCCGGGGAGACCCGGCCGCTGCGCGCGCTGGCCCGGGGCCGCGGCGTGTGCATGCCCGAGGCGCCGGTCAGCGTGCCCAGCGCCGAGGCCGCAGGTGCGCCCGCCCGCCGCCCCCCACCCCGTCCGCCCGCCTCCCCGCCCGCCCGCCTCCCCGTCCGCCCGCCGCCCCCCCCCGCCCGCCCGCCGCCCCCCCCCCCCGCCCGCCCGCCGCCCCCCCCCCGCCCGCCCGCGGCCCCCCTCCCCGCCCGCCCGCCGCCCCCCCCCCCCCCGCCCCGGGAAGGGCTGGCCGGGCGGGGCAGCGGGCCCGGGGGCGGAGGGGCCTCGCCAGGGGACCCAGCGGCTCCGCGGGGGCGGGGGCGGGGGCGGGGGCGGGCCGGGCGCTCAGGGCCGCGCTCCCTCCGCAGAGGCGGAGAAGGAGAGCCCGGGGAGCCTGTCCAGCGTGTGGGACGTGGTCAGAGTCTACGAGGACATGCAGCAGCTCCAGATCTCCGACGTCCAGGACTCCAAGGTGGACTTTTCACAACGTGCGGTGACCCACCGCCTCCCCTGACCCCTCACCGGGCGCCCTGCCTAATCCCGCCACTGGAGGGCGACAAGGACCGGAGGTGCCGCCGCGGTGCCAATGGCCAGAAACCTGAGGCTAAGCCTCCATCAGAGCCCGCACTAGCCTGGGGTGGCGGTGGGGGGCGGGGGGCATGCGGTGAAGGGAGGGAGTGGGGAGACCTCTCAGCTCCCGCAGGTGTGCAGGGGTGTCCTGGTGGGAGGGCGCGACCCTCACCTTCCTCTTAATACTAACCCCAACCCTAACCCAACCCCAACCCTAACCCCTACCCCTAACCCAACCCCAACCCTAACCCCAACCCCAACCCAACCCCAACCCTCCCCTACCCCTAACCCTACCCCTACCCCAACCCCAACCCTAACCCCAACCCTAACACCAACCCCAACCCTAAACTTAACTCTACCCCTACCCCAACCCTAACCCAACCCCAACCCTAACCCAACCCCAACCCTAACCCCAACCCCTAACCCAACCCCAACCCTAACCCCAACCCCAACCCAACCCAAACCGCAACCCCAACCCTAACCCTAACTCTACCCCTACCCTAACCCAACCTCAACCCTACCCCTAACCCTACCCCTACCCAACCCCAACCCCAACCCTAACCCAACCCTAACCCCAACCCCAACCCTACCCCTACACCTACCCCAACCCAAACCCCAACCCTAACTCAACCCTAACCCCAACCCAAACCCAACCCCAACCCTCCCCTACCCCTAACCCTACCCCAACCCCAACCCTAACCCAACCCTAACCCCAACCCCAACCCTAACCCTAACTCTACCCCTACCCCTAACCCTAACCCAAACCTAACCCCAATCCGAACCCTACCCCTACCCCTACCCCTACCCCTAACCCTAACCCAACCCCAACCCCAACCTTAACCCTAACCCTAACCCCAACCCCAACCCTAACCCCAACCCCAACCCTAACCCTAACTCTACCCATACCCTAACCCAACCTCAACCCTACCCCTAACCCTACCCCTACCCAACCCCAACCCCAACCCTAACCCAACCCTAACCCCAACCCCAACCCTATCCCTACCCCTACCCCTACCCCTACCCCAACCCCAACCCCAACCCTAACCCAACCCTAACCCCAACCCCAACCCAACCCCAACCTAACCCTAACTCCAACCCCAACCCTAACCCTAACTCTACCCCTACCCCTAACCCTAACCCAAACCTAACCCCAATCCGAACCCTACCCCTACCCCTACCCCTACCCCTAACCCAACCCCAACCTTAACCCTAACCCCAACCCCAACCCTAACCCTAACCCAACCCTAACCCCAACCCTAACCCTAACCCTAACCCTAACCCTAACCTTAACCTAACCCCAATCCTAACCCTAACCCTAACCTTAACCCAACCCCAACCCTAACCCTAACCCAACCCGGGGCAGAGCCCGGGGGCCCTCGGGGGACAGGGAGAGCCGAGGCTGAGGAGGGCAGGCGGGGGTCCCCCAGTCCACACGGCCCTCTTCCTGCTTCCAGTTGGGGATGTCACCTTCCTCATCCTCTATCTCCTCCTCCATCCACTGTTCTGCCCGCCAGGACCCCTGCCGGCGGGAGCTGCACGCCGCGCTGGCCAAGGCGGCCGAGGAGAAGGCCAAGGCGGGTGGCGGCCTCTACAGCTTCTACCTGCCCAACTGCCACCAGGACGGGCTGTACCACTCCAAGCAGGTGGGTCCCCACCGCGAGCCACGTCCCCATCCCAAACACGCCCCAGCCCTCACCCTGCCCGGGAGGCAGGGCCCCGCCTCAGGGTGGGAGACACACGCATGGAACCCGGGACTCACTGGACACCCCACTCGGAGGGCGCTGGGCATGCCCTCGGCCGGACCTGGTGGGCGGGCGATGCCAGGGTCTGAGCCCTAGCCCTGGGCTCTCCATGGGGTGCCGGGGGCAGGGAGCCCCATCCTCTAGCTCCTGCCACGACTCTGATCTGCACCCCCCCCCCCCCGTTCTGCAGTGCATGGCCACCCTGCACGGCGAGCTGGGGCTCTGCTGGTGCGTGTACCCCTGGAACGGGCAGAGGATCACGGGGTCCGCGGAGGTGCAAGGGGACCCCAACTGCGAGCAGTATTTCCAGGGCCCGCCTCCTTCCATGGGACGCTGAGGCCCACGTGTGTTCGCGCTGCGACTCGCCGGCCTGTGTGAGGGCAGGGCGTCTGTACTCCACCGCTGCTTGCTCCGAAGCTAACGTCTATTTATTCACTGAGTTTATTTTTCTACGCAAGGACCGGGCTCTGAGCTCAATGCCGGAGACACTGCCCAGGGGGTGACCCTCGCAGCGGCTGTCCTGGGCAGGGACACTCCCCCGGGGGGTCCCTCACGGAGCCTCTGCGGGGGTGCAGTGTGCTCAGCCCCCCCGGGGGGGCAGTGGTCAGCGGGAGGTGAGGAGGTGAGGGCTGCAGGAAGGAGGGGAGGCATTGTCACAGGCTCGCACCACCTGCACAATAAACGGCCTATCAGCACTGCCATCGTGGACCTCTGAGCCCCCCTCTGCGCCACCACGCCCCCCTGCCACAGCCGCTGTGCCTCTCAGGCTGTGGTCACCCCGGCCTGGGCCCCCTCCCACCTCCTGCTGCCCTCACTGCCCCACTGGCCACCCCATCTCTCCCGCCAGTAAAAAGGCCAGGCTTCTGGCAGAGGTGCTCCTGGGCCAGCTCCCCGCCCCTCCCTCAGCCTCTGCCCAACGCTGCATGGCCACAGGCGGGCACTGCCTGCCCCTGGCACAGCTGAGCCAGAGCACCAGGCTCGCTGCCCTCCAAAGTCACCTGCTTGCTTTCCTGACTCTGCCCCCACCTTGGCTGTGTCTGAGGCCTGAGCCCCAGCGGGTGTGGGTGCAGGTCTCTCTCTCACAGCCCCAGCCATTCCCCGGGCCGCCCCCTCAGGCCCCCGGCTGCCAGCTGCCCCCTCGGCCAGGCCCCCAGGGCTGACCTGGACTCAGTGTCCGTGTCCTGACAGCACTCAGCCAGGTCCTGGCCCCACCCCCGCGGGGAGGGCCCCTTCCTGAGGGACCAGGCGGGAAGAAGTAGAAACACCATGGACCTTCCCGCACCCAGAGCTGGGGGCACCAGGGCCCCTAGTGCACGCGTGTGCCGTGCGCGTCTGCCTGTGCACACACATGCATGTGTGTGCACGTGTGCCGTGTGCGTCTGCGCGCCTGCCCGTGCGCATGTATGTGCCTGTGTGAACGTCTGTGCGCCTGCCTGTGCGCACGCATGTATGTGTGTGCACGTGTGCCGTGTGCGTCTGTGCGCCTGCCCATGTGTGCGCATGTGTGTGTGTGCACACGTGTGCCGTGCGCGTCTGTGCGCCTGCCTGTCGGGGTCACATGACAGTTGCATCTGCTTGTCGTCCTGAGGATTCCGGGTAGGAACGTCCCTGAGCGGCGGGCGCCCCGCGCTGCCTCCGGCCCGGAGTCGGACCAGAGAGGCCTCTCCGGGCTGAGGACTGCCCCCCGCAGTCAGTGCCCAGCTGCCCGCTGGGCCTGGACGCCGCGAGGGGAGCAGCGTGCGCACTCAGGGCGGCGTCTCGGGTGTGGGGGCCGCAAGCCCAACCCTGGCGGGCAGGGGAGCCGGGGGGCAGGGGAGGGGTGCGTCTGCCGGCGGGGGAGCCGGGGAGGCCCGGTGGCAGCACTGGGAGGCGAGCGGACAAGGGGTGACTGTGGCAGAGGTTGGGGTGAAGGGGTGTGAAACGGGCGCCCAGGAGCCCGGGATCCTGACCCCGGTGGCCACCAGGCCCCGCCCCCACACGTGCGCCCTCACTTCCGGCTCAGGGCTTTGCAGGTCCCGCCCCCCAGACTGCACATGCTCTGACCACACAGGCTCTGCCCAGCCGGCTGCCTGCGCATGCTCGCACCCAAGGTGGGTGAGGACGGACTTGGGTGCTAAGGGCGCAGGCAGGACAGGCACCGGGGTCCTGGAAGCCAGTGCGCCTTCATCCCCGGAGTGCCAGCGTCCCCGGGGCTCCTCCCGCCGGTCCCTTTCAAGCCCAGACCCCAGGCCGCGTGTCCCCTGCGCCTGGGCGGGGCCGGCAGGGTGCTGGGGACAAGCCCCAGGGTCGCGAGGGCTTGGGGGCGACCTGCCGACCTGCCCGACCAGGACCCCACCGAGACCCCCCCGGAGCTACCGTGAACGACCCCTGGGGCGTGGGACCCTCCCACCGCGAGCTGGCCGCCGACAGGGGAGGGTTTTCCACGGTAAAAACTTTATTGACCAATTATAAATACATGGTGAGACCGACGTCTCCAAAATATCTTATTTGATTAAAAACTTGATTAAAAAAATAAAGGAAAGCGAAAGGCAGGCAGTGTCCGGAGACCCCCTGGCCTGGCCGAGGGCAGAGACTGGCTCCAGGTCCCGTTACATGTGGGTGCGGTGCATGCAGCGTGACAGCTCACAAGGCGCTTCTCTGTGAACACGGGAATCAGGAGGGGGATTCCAGGATCTGGCTAGATACATGGTTATTCATACGTGTTACACTGTGCAAGGAGGACATGTGGTGAGGGATGAGCAAACCTCCTTGGCCTCTGAGGAGCATATCCTCAGAAACCGCCTTGGCTTTGGAGTTGTGAGTGGAAAACACCCTTTCCTGCCGCCCAAGCATCGTGTGCTGTTGGGGACAAAGCCAACCTCCCCACCCCCCAACCCCCTCCCTTCCCTGTGGAGCCTGCTGGTCACCCACGTCTCCAGGTGCCCAGTCTGAGCACCTGCTTGGTCTTAAAAAAAAAAAAAAAAGAAAAAAAAAAGGCAGGACTCCACCTCATGGTCTCACTCGTACCCAAGCGGACGGCTGCCTGAGGGCAGGAGCTCGCGGGTGGGCGGAGGGGAAGGGGGGCGCAGGCCTCGGCTCCCCGCACGTGTGTCCAGAGGTGCAGACGCCCCAGGGAGAGGGTGGCGGTCCTGGGAGGCCCACGGGGCAGGGGTGCTCGGGTGTGAGGTCCCGGTGGGCTGTGCCAGCGGACGGGGTCCCGGCCAGCCTGAGGCCTGGCCTGAGCTTGAGTTCATGGGGAGGTCCAGAAGCAGCGATGAGAAAAGTCAGGCGGTGCCCTGGCCGCTGGGGCTGGGAGCCGCTTCGCCCACGGCCGAGAGCCGCGGCGTTTGGGGGGCTCACCCTATAGGAGGGGTTAAAGGAAACGGATTCGCCAGAGAAAGAGAGGGGCTCGAGGCCATGGCCACTGGTGGTCACCGCCGTGGCCATCTGTGATGCAGAGTTGGTGCTGGAGTTCGAGGAACTGAAACAGAGAGGAACGCGGTGGTTAACTCCTCCCAGGTCAGTCTCCCAACCTCCCCGGCACAGGCAGGCTGCCTGCCCACAGAGCGAGGGCCTGCAGGATGCTAGCAATTTAAAAACGTGTTTTCATGGATGTCAGAGAGGAAGGGAGAAGCATCCATGATGAGAGAGAACCATGGATGGGCTGCCGCCTGCACACCCTACATGGGGGATCGAGCTTGCAACCTGGGCCTGTGCCCTGACTGGGAATTGAACTGTGACCTTCCGGTTCATAGGTCGATGCTCAAGCACTGGGCCCCGCCAGCTGGGCTGCTTGCTATGTTCTTCCACAGTCACCCCAAAATTAGAATTGCCTTTTCCAACTTGCAAGGAAAGAAAACACCTAAACCGGCAATTTCCTTCTGTTGACTTACATTCGTCTTGAGGAGATGAAAGGAAATGTATTTATTCCTTTTTCTCCACCAGTAACTCTCTCATTTAGTCAAAGAGAATATTGGATGTGATGGCCTTTTCAGAGTGATGGTTTAAAGTCATTGTTTGAGTTAGGGTTAATGAGCTTTATTAAAATTCTATTTACCACAGGTTATCAGAATATCCATATGTATTTTACAGGGGTGGCGGGGGGAGCACAATCAGGCTCGTCTTTAACTCAGAAACAGGCTCTTGCTCACCTGGCGTGGCTCAGTGGTTAGCGTTGACCTATGAACCGAGAGGGAGGTCAGGGTGTGATTGCTGGTCAGGGCACAGGCCTGGGCTATGGGCTCCATCTCCAGTGTGAGGCGTGTAGGAGGCAGCCGGTCCATGGTTCTCTCTCATTGTTGCTTTCTCCCTCCCTTCCTCTCTCAGATCAATAACAAGATTCCATCTTAGAATTAGGTTCTTTAAAGTCAAAGAGTTCGCTGGGAAGCGAGGGCTCCATCACAGGGAAAGCCTCTGAGACTCCGATCCGCGGGCCCAGGCCCCTGCCTGTGTGGTTCAGTGGGCAGGCCCCGCCTTCTTCCGGGAGCATTCCGGTCTGTCCGCCATCTGACCACGCCGCCCGCCCGTCTGATGGAGGGCCCGGGGCCCAGGCTCACCGCGTCACGGGCTCTCCACACCGTCGCAGTGCACGTCCGCCCGGCCCCGCGGGTCGTGGCCGGGGAGGGGCTGCCCGTACTTGTCCACGCACCAGCAGAAGCCACGCTTCCTGCCCTTGGACGGGCGGCACTGGGGGGCAGAGAGGGTGGCGTGACCCCCGGCTGCCCGGCCCCATGCCCGCCAGGCTGCCCCCCGGGACTGCGGCCCGGGGCAGCAGGAAGGTGCTGGGCGCGTGTCCCTGCGGGTTCACAAAGGGGAGCAGGGCCCTGGGGTGGCTCCCCGTCGCCTGGGTGGAGGCCGGACAGAGGCTCACCTGCTTCCTCTTGTAGAAGCCCTTCCGGTCGCAGTTGGGGAGGTGGATGCCCTGCGGGCTCAGGGTGCTCAGGGACTTGAGTTGGTTCAGCGTGTCCTCCATCTCCCGGCGGCAGGGCCCCTGGGGGTGTGGACCGGTCACTATGAAGTCCCACCCACCCGCCCCCCGGGGGGACCAGCGGTGCTGTGGCCTGACTCAGCCATCACGGCGCCCATGGGAACACTGGCACCCCCTCCCGTGTGTCCGAGATGGGGCTCGGCACCGGGACCTCCCGGGACACCCAGAGGCCAGGGGCACAGGAAGAGCCGGGGATGTGAGCCTTTCTCCAGCCCAGAGGCTTGGGCACGCCCTGGGGTTTGACCGTAGGGCCGGGCCATCTGGTCCCCGTTCTGGGCGTCAGGGGACTGGCAGCTGCCCCTGTGCCTGGACGGGGTGTGCCCGCGGCTCGGGTGCAGAGCAGCCGGTGCCCTCGGGCTCCCAGCTCTCCCCCCACCCCAGGAGGCGCGCTCACGTATTCTGTGTCCTGCTTGGTCTCGGAGGAGAAGTTCTGGGTGACGGTGCTCTGGGCCCCCGAGTGGACCTTGTGGCGCTGGCTGTCCTTGGCGCTCCCCCTCCTGATGGCATCCATCTTGGTGTGGCCGGGGTGGAACCTGGAGTCGGGGGCCCAGTGTGTGCCCGTCAGCGCCGGGCTCCCTGCGGTCACTGTGCTCTGCTCTTCCTCCGACTCACTGCCGTTTGCTGGGGAGACATGGAGACAGGAACTGAGGGCTGAGCAGGGTCAGGCTTGGGCACTGTCACTCAGCCATCCCAAGTCATTCTGGAAAAACACCTGGAGCCTCGACCTTGGAACCAGGAGGTCTCCGCTGGATTCCCGGTCAGAGCACAGGCCCGATGTTCAGGCTCCATCCCCAGTGAGGGGTGTGCAGGAGGCAGCCGATCTGTGATTCTCTCACCATGGATGTTTCTCTCGCCCTCTCCCTTCCTCTCTGGTCAACAAAAAATATTTAAGAAAAAGAAAACACCTGATAGAGTCCCACCCTCACACTAGCAGCCCTGGTACTTGCTTTGCCTGGAGATCAGAAGAGATTTGACCAAATAGGTGCCTCGCTGGCAGGCCTCCCCTCCTCTACCGGGAGGGGGCAGAGCTGAGCCTGGACGGACCCTCCCCCCCCTCCACCTTCTCCCCGAAACCCGCCCCTGGAGGACTGAGGTTGAAGCACGCGTGAAGCTGGAGGCGCCAGCGCCCGCGGTTCCTCCCGGGCGGAGCCGGGGCGGCTGTGGGACAGGGCGGTGGGCGGGGTCTCCTCTCCCACCCGGTCCGCTCAGCCGGGCAGCGGCCCTACGGCTACGTCATTCCCACGAGCCGCACCCCCAGATCTCCCAGACCCTGCGGCCCCGAATTTGTTCCGCCGGGGAGCTCGGCGCCCCGTCCCAGCTGACTGTTCCCGCCGGCAGGGAGGCCGCCCGCCCAGGCCTGGGGCTCCCGGGAGCAGAAGGGAGCTTCCCAGGCTCAGCGGGGCGGGGAGACCTGGTGCTCCGCTCCACGCTCGGAGGTTCCGGTGCCCCCGCCCCCAGAGCGGCCCGCCCCCAGAGCGGCCCCGCCCCCAGAGAGGCCCCGCCCCCAGAGAGGCCCGCCCCGGGGGAGGAGCTGCGTGGTCCCCGGGGCCCGGCCGGGAGCACCGCTCCGCACCGCGGACCCTCCTAGCGGTAGGCTGTTTTCCGTTTCCTTTCCGTTTCCGGTCCTCTTCCTCCCGGAAGCCAGGGGCGGGGCTATGTAAATGAGCTCCTCCCCGCCTTCCCGGCTCCGGACGCGGCCGGAGGGGAAGCCCTTCCTCCTCAGCGCCGGGTCCCGAGCGCGCCCGCCGGAGTCGGGAAGCCACTCGCCTCCTCACGCCGTCACCGGCCGCGCCGCCCACCCCGAGCGGGCGCCCTCGGCGGCGGAAGGGAGCGCCGGGAGGACCCCGCAGCCCGCGCGGGGCGCCACCCCGGGCCGCGGGCACCCAGGGCTGCGGCCCCGAGCCCAGGCCGCTGGCGGCTTTGACGCGCCGTCCCGTCTGGGGACCCGCACACCCGCCTCCCCTCACCCACCGGGGCCGCGGCTTCTCCGGAGGCACCGAGCCCGCCCCGCCCCGGGCTCCGCAGCCGCAGGGACTCCCTGGCCGAGCGGAGGCTCAGAGCCAACCTCAGACCTTCCCTCTGAGGCCCCCCGGGGCTCCCCGTCCCTTCCCGCCTCCCAAACCCGCTCCCCGCAGCCCCGCGCCGGGCGCGTCTGCGGCCTCCCGGGCGGGAGCTGGGTGACGCGAGGGTGCGGGGGCAGCGGGTCCGGCCCCGCCCCGCCCGGGGCACCTGGTAGACCCGCTTCCTCCTGAGGGCCGGCGGGGGGGGGACTCCTGTGCGGTGCGGCCCTCCCACCGCGCCCCGCGCCCGCCCCCGCGGGACCGAAGCGCGGCCGGAGCCCGCAGGCAGCCCACGCCTACGGCCCGGGGTCCCGGATCTTCCCTCCGACGGCACTGAGCCTCGGGCCGTTGTCGGGGCGGCGCCGGGCCCGCCTCCCCACGACGCCCTCCGGGCCGGGGACCGCCGCTCGCTCACCTGGCGCGGGCGGGGCCGGGGACACCGGGACGAGGGGATCGGGGACAGGGGGACCGGGTGACCGGGGATGGGGGGCCAGGGGGCCCGGGGCCAGGGGGCCGGGGGGCCCAGGGCCAGGGGGCCGGGGGGCCCGGGGATGGGGGGACCGGGGATGGGGGCCCGGGGACAGGGGGGCCGGGGGACCGGGGACAGGGGGACGGGGGACCGAGGACGGGGACGGGCGCTCGCTCACCTGGCGCGGGCGGGCGGGCGGCGGCGCTGGCGTTGGCGCAGAGCCCGCGGCCCTCCAGCAGCGCCCGCAGCGGGGCCTCGCCGGGCGGCGGGAGGCAGCGGAGGCCGGCGCCGCAGCGCTCCGTGTAGACGCCGCACGCCTGGCCCTCGCGCCGCGCGCACGTGAGGCAGCAGCCGCAGCCCGGCTCCCGCGCCAGCTCCGCGCAGCCGGCCGGCGGGGGCGCGCACCGGGCCAGGGCGCGGGCGTCGCAGGGCTCGCAGCGCACGACGGGGCCCGCGCCCGCCGCCCCGGTACCGGGACCCGGACCGGCTCCGGCCCGCGCCGCCGGCAGCCCGAGGAGCAGCGCCAGCGCGGCGGCCAGGAGCGCGGGGAGTGTGAGCGGCATGGCGCCCGCTGCGGGGCTCCGCGGCTCAGCCAGGGCTGCGCGGCGCGGCACGGGGGCGTCGGCGCGGCTGCGGGAGCGGAGGAGCCGGAGCGGAGGAGCCGGGGAGGAGCGGCGTCGGTCAGACCTCTGCAGGCACCAGAGGCTGCATCTGGCGGCCCGGGCGCTCCCGCCGCTATATAGTGGCCCGAGGGCCGAGGACACGCCCCGGACGGCGCGGGGTGGGGGAGACGGGGCGGGGGAGGGGGGGGAGACGGGGCGGGGGAGAGGGGGTGGGGGGAGACGGGGCGGGAGGGCGCAGCCTGGGCTCCGGGTCCGTCCACCGCTCGGGTGCCGGGGCACCGGGGCGCAGCGCGGCAGCCGAGCACCTGCTCCCCGTGGGCACGCCGGCGCCCCGCGGCCCCAGGTCCCAGGCGCTCCCAGCACCCACCCACCTGGTGCCTCTGGCCACCCCAGCGTCCCCCCCCCCCGCCCGCCCCGGCAACCCCGGCTGTCCGCGCCCTTCTCCGTCTGCGTCCCGTCCGGGGGGAGGCCGCCCGCGAGCCTGTGCCGGGGAGACCGGGGTGCCAGGGAGACCGGGGTGCCCGTGAGACTGGGGAAACGGGGCGCGCTTCTCCTCCCTGGGGCACTTGGCAAAGTTTCTAACATTCAAGGGGGTTTAAATGAGGCCGGGGATTTAAGACGTCTCTGAGCCGGCACCTCCGTCGGTCCGGGGAACGAAGTCTCAGGGTTCCGTTTGCACCCCCGGGCCCCTCGAACCCCCACATCTGGTCCCAAAACGCGCATCTGTAGGTGCGCACGCGGCCTCCGCTCTCCGGGTCCCTGCTCACAGCGGGGCTCCCTCCCTCCCTCCCCGGGGTCCCAGCGGGCAGGGCGGGCAGAGCGGGCCCGCGGGGAGCGGCTGAGCCGGGCTTGTGGGCGGTTAACCTGTTTCAGGTCCCCCCCCCCGGATGGCTCCAGCAGGGCCTCCGTCCACAACCGGGGACTAAAAGTAAATGTCATTAATGACCAGCAGCCTGACCACGGGTTTTCCCGACCAGTGGCGGCCCCGCCCTGAGGTCTCTCCGGTGCGCCTCGCTGGGGACACTGGGGTCCTCCTGTCCGTGCGGTCTGCGCGCTGCGCCTGGGCAGGTCGGGGCGCACCCCGCCCTGGGATGGGGAGAATCGTCCGCCACCTCCGAGCGCGGCCTGTGCGACCCTTCTCTGTGCGGCCGACAGAGGGCGCGCGCGGCCCAGGAGCCAACTGGCAAAGAGCTTGTGGGTCAGCGCGGCCCCGCGCTGCTGGAGCCGCGCTGCTGCACCCAGGTACCCGGGAGCAGCCCCGGGCGGTTTGGGCAGAGAGAGTCAGTCAGGGCCCCGCTTCTTCGCCACCCGCCAGCCCACTTGCAGCAGCGGCGCTGACATTTGCCTGTGTGTGTGTGTGTGTACATGTATGTTTATGAATATATGTATGTGTGTGCATGTGTGCGTGTGTGTGAAATCTTACAACAACAAAGAAATGCTGGGGCAGTGATATGGGGAGAATTATCTCTATAAAAGCCTAATAAGCAAATTGTCCCCTTGGGAGTTCGACCAGGAGAACAGGAGTTCGATGATTGATCGCCATGATGTATGCTGACCACCAGGGGGCGGTGCACAATGAAGGAAGGCCCTAATTGGTCCTGATTGCTGGCCAGGCTAGGGACCCGGACCGAGCGTGAATGTTGTGCACCGGCCTCTAGTATGTCAATATATAGTCATTTTTATTTGACAAAACTGCCAGGAAAGAACGCGTTATGGCAGGGAGGTCTTGGATGGGACACAGCTCCATGTTGTGACGTGCTGGTTCCCTCGATCAGGCTGCCGGTTAGTCTGGCGTCCGTGGGGAGTGGGGAAGGTGTCTCCCCGGTGAAGGTACTTGGTACACAGCTGCTTAGTGATTGTGAGGCGACACCCACATCGGAAACCCAGCCCTCGCCATGCGGGGTGGTGGGATTGTGACCCGGGCTGCTGGTGGTCAGTCTGAGCGCCCCCTCACTTCCCAGGTCCCCGTCCCACACCCTGCAGCCCTGAGTGAGTACGGAAGGCAGCGGGCCCTGTCCCTCCTGCGGGTCAGTAACCCCCAGACCTTCCCCGCAGAGGCCTCTCTCCGGAGAGCTTGCTGGACAGCTGGCGGCTCGTAAAATAGGAGCGGGTTACGTGCCAGGGAAGCTGGAAAGTCCAGCGGGCTGGGAGATAGCATGACCCAGTGAGAAAACCTAAAAACAATGTTTTTCTTAGCTTCTTGAGTAATGGGGTTCAGTTGGGAGATTAAACAGCCAAAATTAGAGTCTGCTGTTTGTTAGTATTATTGAGCAAAAAATGAAATAAAACTGCCCTCTTTATTAAGTGATGACTTAGTGTTTTTTTTTTTTTTTTTTTTTTTTTTCCCAAAGAGCATTCTGTTTTTAGGAAAAAAGAGGAGCCCAACCAGCTTGGTCAGGAGACTATTTCACTTTGAGCTCCAGCCCCAGGCCCACCCAGCCCTCTGCCCAGTGCCTCCTTCCCCAGGGGGGCTGGCTATTTTGAAGACCCGCCCCCCCCCTGGAGCGGGGGAAGGGGGAGGAGACGTTTCCAGGTTCTGAGGGGGTGAGGCCTCCTGTCCCTCTCCTCCCCCCCACAACCCCCTCACCCCCCTGTAGCTGCGACTGTGACAGGGCAGTGAGTGAAGTCCAATCTAGGAGAACAGGGTAACCCTGGCCAGTGTGGCTCAGTGGATAGAGCGTTGGCCTGCGGACTGAAGGGTCTAGGATTCAATTCCTGTCAAGGGCACAGGCCCGGGTTGTGGGCTTGATCCCCAGTGTGGGGTGTGCAGGAGGCAGCCGATCAATGATTCTCTCTCATTATGGATGTTTCTCTCTCCCTCTCCCTTCCTCTCTCTATAAAAACATTAAGAATCTATATCAGAACAAACATCTTCAAATTCTGGGATTCCCACACGAGATTTTACTACCGCGGGGGGCGGGGGGGTAGCAGAGGGGGTTGAGGTGTGAGTTTCATGAAAGAAGCAGCTCCCAGATTTGGGGTCAGAGCACGTGGCATTTTAACTCCTGCCGGAACCCCACTCCCAGCTCCGCGGTCCATGGGGGGAAGTTGGCCCCACGGTGCAGCGGGCCGCACAGACCTGGGTAGTTATGGCCTGTGTCCATGTCGTGTCTGTGTCTGCATCTATGTGTGTATCTCTGTGTGTATGTCTGTGTGTGTGTCTGTGTGTTTGTCTCTGTGTCTGTGTCTGTGTGTGTGTCTGTGTCTGTGTGTGTGTGTCTGTGTGTATGTCTGTGTATGTCTGTGTGTGTGTCTGTGTGTTTGTCTCTGTGTCTGTGTCTGTGTCTGTGTCTGTGTCTGTGTGTGTGTGTCTGTGTGTATCTCTGTGTGTATGTCTGTGTGTGTGTCTGTGTGTTTGTCTCTGTGTCTGTGTCTGTGTCTGTGTCTGTGTCTGTGTGTGTGTGTCTGTGTGTATGTCTGTGTATGTCTGTGTGTGTGTCTGTGTGTTTGTCTCTGTGTCTGTGTCTGTGTGTCTGTGTGTCTGTGTGTATGTCTGTGTATGTCTGTGTGTGTGTCTGTGTGTTTGTCTCTGTGTCTGTGTCTGTGTCTGTGTGTGTGTGTCTGTGTGTATGTCTGTGTATGTGTGTGTGTCTGTGTGTTTGTCTCTGTGTCTGTGTCTGTGTGTGTGTCTGTGTCTGTGTGTGTGTGTCTGTGTGTATGTCTGTGTATGTCTGTGTGTGTGTCTGTGTGTTTGTCTCTGTGTCTGTGTCGTGTGTCTGTGTCTGTATCTGTGTCTGTGTGTCTGTGTCTGCAGGTGTGTCTGTGTGTATGCCGGCGTGTGTGTCTGTGTCTGCGTCTGCGTCTGTGTGTGTGTGTGTCTGTGTGTGTGTGTGTGTGTATGTCTGCGTGTGTGTCTGTGTCTGCGTCTGTGTCTGTGTGTGGATCTGTGTCTGTGTGTGTGTATGTCTGCATGTGTGTCCGTGCCTGCGTCTGTGTGTGTGTGTCTGTGTGTGTGTGTATGTCTGTGTGTGTGTCTGGGTCTGGTTTGTGGCTCCCAGGAGCTGCATGTGGTGATCTCTTGCTCTAGGAGTTTCTCAGGCCTGGAGCAGCCTTCCAGGTGCACTTGTCAGAAAGGGTTTGCAGACTCGTCCGCGGCAGCTGCTGGGAGGAGGGGTGACGGGTGGGACCCGCAGCAGGCAGACTGGAAGTGTAGAGCACCTGTACACGGTGGTACCTGCACGCGGTGACACCTAAGATGGACAGTCACCGCGCCCTGGCACTGAGGAGAGCGCGCTTAGTTTAACAGCCACGTGGGGACGGACCGGGCTCTGCCGCCAGGGCTGGGGCGGCTGGGCTGCAGGGGAGGTAGGCGTGGCCTCGTCCCAGGTGTGTGGTGGGGGGTGGGGTCGCTGCGGGTTTGTGACGTGTAAGCTTCTCCTGTGACCACTCTATCACGTGCTCTCTGAAGTCTGTTTTGCCAGCTGCACGCTGACCTCTGACCTCAGAGCCTCCTGGACCGCCTGGAGCCCACGGGACACACCGCGTCCGGCTCTGCGGGCTGGCTGTGCTCGGCCGGGCCGGCTCCCACTCTGCCTCGGCAGCTCCCCACGCCTGCAGCCACCCCGGGGGGGGGGGGGGCGCCCAGGTGCCTGTGGGCCAGGGCCTCCTGGGGGCTCCGTTCCCTCGCCCAGCCCGCCACCTCTCCGTGCGCTCCTATGGCAGACGGAGGCGCTGAGCGGACTGGATGAGCCCGCACACGCATCCCTGAAGACAGACGTGTTTCCACAGATCGGAGCCCGTCCCGGAGCACGGAACCCCTCGAGCGCTTTCCTGGAATTCTCTTTTGAGTAACACGCAGCTCCCATGACCCACAGAGGCCTCCTCTGTGGAGTATTTTTACAAGTTTAGTTGGAGCTGACATTGTAAATGAATGAACTCACGCTTCAAAGTCATTGGAAAATGTGAGCGGAGGCCCGAACGGGAACTGTAATGAGCCCATG